GATAGTAATAATGCAGCTTGTTAAATTTCATTATACTGAACCAGACAGCTGAGTTTGCACAGATGAAAGACTTCACAGTCGATTCGTGATGAGAAACAACTACATTTACTTACTGCAGCAGCTGAAAAAAATGAAGACATTACACTGGAGAAAGAAAGGGCTACATTTCTTGGAATGCAGTGTCATCCTCTGCAGCTGATGGTGATGAGTTCCTGCAAAATATGTGGAAATAATGCTGCAGTCTTGTCAGCTTGTGTCAGCGAGGACTATTGTATATTCATGCGTGTGTGTTGCGTTTTGCCAGGACTTGCTTCAGTCTCCCAGAAGAGGCCACAGAATGATCACACTTACTTGTCTGTGGTCTGTGGGTGTTAAAGTGCTCTGGTGTCAGTACTTCGGCTACACTGCTTCGTGCACGTAACCGTTGTAGTTTAGTGGTCAATAAACTGGTGTCCAGGGGCCAGCAGTCGCCATCTTTTCAACCAGCATTTATTGAGCAAATTTTAGTTATAGTGCCTTGTTTATGGCCGGGCTGTAAATCTGCAAATGTGCCTCAAGCAACACAAAGCATAAATAATCAAAGACAGACTATTCCTCACAAAATTTTAATGCATCGTCTAATTTATCGCCTTTCCTCTCTTGCCGCTGTAAGTGTCTAGTAAATACTGGATGTGAACCAGCGAAATGGAACACGTTTGAATTGTATCCGCAAAAATAATGAGAATAAGGACTCTGCAGTACACTTACGCGTGTGTGTCTTTGCAAAAGGCTTTATGTGTTTTAACCAAAGGATCAGTTGGCTCAAAAGCAAAATTGGACCAAATTAAGAACAAGTAAACAGTTCGGTTTATATGGATTTTTTGGACGCTGCAGTGAGATCAATCCCTGCAGTGGATGATCAATAGTAGTAGGCTGTGAATAAAGTGATTGACAATCACCTGCAGTTCAGCTCAGAGCTGGAGGTTCAGAGGATTTGGATTAAGCATTACGCATGATTTTTCAATAATTTAAGTTGAGTGTTTTAAATCAGATGGACTCATCTTCTCCAAAATGTAGGCAGAATTATTCATTTGATTTGAAATGAACTCTACTAAATAACATGTTGCATATGTTTGGTTTATTTTCCTTTCCTTTAAACTAATATTATGCAAGATGCAATTTTAATAAGTGAACTCTTAATTAGTTGTCTGACTGCTCTTGGAACCTTTGCATACACTATTTTGAATTCGCTGACAGGCTGCTAATCAGTGAACTGCAGGAAATGTCTCTTTAAATCTTTGATTAGATTATTCAACCCTGGGGTGTGATTCTGAGCAAGATTATTACCAAGAACATATGACAGAATATATGAAACGCATACTGCAACAAACTAATTTATTGATTTCATTTGCACTGCAGAATATAGTGGAATTAATGAATCTTAAAAATCATGTGGTAGCATCTAAATGAAATGAATCATTCAAGTCAAAATATTATTTATTTAACATCATTGAATTAACCTAAATACATTAGGTTACACTGGCAAAACTAAATGTAATTTAGAAACATTCAGAAACAGCTCCTCACGGTAACAATTGCATGTGACCACTTTATACAGTGCATTAGGAATGAAAAGAAATTAGCTTAATATAAAATATTTTCCCTCCTTCATTTCTTGGATTTGGCCTTGAAATATATACATTAAAGGAGGACAGATTGGGGTCACTGCAGGCCAGGAGAACAGCGGGCCACCTGTCATGTGTCTGCCGCCCCACTGTGACACTCTTTAGAAGCAAGATTATGACTGTGGAAACCTTCTTCGCTTGAACATTTCTTACTGAAATGCTTCATTCAGAGATACTAAAGAGGAGCACGTAACAGCCAAATGACCAGAGATGGTGGCAAGATGCTTAGATGAGAGAAAAGAGAGCTTTTCAGGCAGCATCTGAGCTCCAGGGTCAGTCCCATCAGCTTCTGAGATGAAAGTGTGGCTGCCCTGCTGTAAGTGAGATGATAACACGCTGGGAAAGCAGATGAAGACAAATGAGTGCACCAGTCTGGACCTACAGCACCCGCGCGCTGCTGTCCACAGACAGCCATGAAGACTCAGCACCACATTACAACTCAAGAGATTTTTTATGGCATATGCCACAAGAACAACAGCAAAATAGACTAATAAATCATACATCAAATAAAGGTGAATAACATTTGCATCTTAATGCCCTTTGAAATGCACCGTGGAGTCGTCAGACTTCCCTGAACGGAAAATGACCTTGGCTCTGCATTATTTATTATTCATAAATGCATTTGTTTCTGTGTGAAATGCAATACCATTTACCTGCAAGCACACAACAGAGCAAAAGGAAAGATAAAATAAGATGAATTATGCGTCCCGCACATCTCACTGCTATAACATTAATTAACGGACCATCCTTATAATTAATCGAGCCGCCTCCCTTTGGCTCCATTAATTTCAGTTATTTAAAGTGAATAATATATATATATAAAAAAAAATGCTTGGGACCACTGCCAAATTCTCCGGTTTACCCATATGACAAGAAAGTCATCTCATAAACACACGTGGCCTCATTTCTGGTTCATTTTTCAAAAGTGATTTTTAATAGATTTATAGTGGAAAATTCTAGATGAGTATTCGAAGTAGTGAAGGCATAGCACCTGTACAGAATTCATTGAACAGGTATTTTCATTATAAAATGAGTAAAATAAATAAATAGAACAAATTAAAAAATGCTGAGCATCAGTTATTAGTAATTTACCATAATATAATGAATGAACCCTAACACAAACTGAAAACTAAAAAAAAAAAATACTCTACTCCGTTAGGAAAATTAGCTAGTTGTAGTACCTTGATTTCATTCATGTTACAAAATGAAATATGTATTTGATTGCTTGCTACAGAGATGAAAGAAGAACATAAATAATCATTCATGTCAGTAGAATTTGACATAAAATGCCCACTATAAGAGCCCATATAAATATAAATATACAAAATCTGCCCTAAGGCAAAAACACAAAGCCCTACATACGTGTTGCTTAATCTCTTTCAATATGTATGCATTTATATATTCAATAACTCATCAAGGGTGTATATATTTATCAAGATGTTTTTTAGCATCTCACACCATAAGTGCCACGTTTTTAGGATGCCGTGCCTAGACAAAAACAGTTCATATTCCAACATTTCTTTATTTAGCTCAATTTTATCTTGATGTTGAACACAAGAATTTGTCTTGTGTGACTGGTTCTTTAATCTATGTTGTCAGCTCTCTGTAATGCTGGTTAATATACATACATGTAAGCAGCTTTTCATATTTGTATATATTATTCAAAAGCTATGAATTATGTATACATGGGTAAAAACGGTTTATGAGAACATAATGTTGCAAATGATTCAAATGATAAACATAGATTCATACAGTATAGATGAATATGACAAGGGATGCACCGAAATTTTGGCCGTTGAAAATTATCGGTCGAAAATTTCGATGCATCCCTAAATATGTTAAATGATCATTTTTTAAAATCTTTTTAGACCTTGCAGTACTAGAACTTTCTAAAACTGATTTTGAAAATAAGATAAATAAGAAGAATGGCAGATGCGGTGGGTGTTATTTTGATTTCTGTCAGCTATGCGTGCATCCTCTGTCTCGTAAAGGATAGATTTGTTAGAAGCTACTCCATGTACTGACAGAGGGGGATATTGGCTGCATATGCAGCATGAACCAATCAGCTTTTGCCAAGTCGTTTAACTCTCATCTAACACCCCATCAGCCTGCGCCATCTAGAGTTTCATGACTCAACTATATATATATTATTTTTTTATATAAATTTTCTAAGAGGCTTTAGCAATTCTGTTACAATTCGATAAATTACATACTTATTCAAAATAAATGATGCGATTTTATAATTAAGTAAACATTGAAAATAATTTTCAAGGAAAGGAAAAAGAAAATAATTCAGAATGGACAACAGAGTTGCAAAGACCAAAAACAGCATTTAACAAGCTACTTTTCATGCTAGACTAATTTTAAATTAGATATAGACACTACTGTTTAAAACTTCGGGTTCAGTGAGATTTTTTAAATGTTTTTTTAAAGAAATCTCTTATGTTTACCAAGGCTGCATTTATTTGATTAAAAATACAATAAAACCAGTAATATTGTGAAATTACATTACAATTTGAAACATCTATTTTCTATTTTAATGTAATTTTGAAAATATATACAATTTATATTTTAAGATGTAATTTATTCCTGTGATGGGAATGCTGAATTTTCAGCAGCCATTACTTCAGTCTTCAGTTTCACATGATCCTTCAGAAATCATTCTAATATGCTGATTTGCTGCTCTAGAAACATTTATCATTACTATCAATGTTGAAAATTGTTATGCTGCTTAATATAAAAAAAATATTACTTTTGAATGCAGTATAGCTTATAAAAAAATATCTAAAAGTTATCACATCATAAACATGGGATCAGTCTCTAATGCCTTAAAAATAAGTAACATGACACCATATTTATGGAACATATTTATATCTAAGAATAATTTTTTTTAATACTCTACGACTGCTCAGACTGAAAAGGATCTGACATCCCAGCCCAGTGTTATCATCTACATATAGGTGACAGTGAGAAAATCTTCTCCTGTTCTATGTCTGCAGGCACATGTCTGCTCAGACTGAGCGATTCATTCAGAGTGCAGATTAACAGTGGGAATGTCCCTGGCTGGGTTGCCATGGCAGTGCCAATGCCACGTTTTAAGCAGAGGATCAGGGAAACAATTTGCAGAGGGACTCAAGCTAATACCTATTGAGCCCAACACCAACATGCTTGAATGGAATCGTGTTGCGCCTTTTTGAAATCTCAGAAAAAAGTCAAGAAGGCCAGAGGACAGAAGCTTTGAGATAGACAAAGATCGTCATGGTTAACCGTTAGCCAACTTGCTGTCAGTGTCATAGACTCCATTTATTCAGGTCTCCATTTATTGATAAAGATGAGATGGAGATGTATGCAGGAGCTTCCTGGACAGGCTCGTTACTGTGAGATAGCTGGCCAGGTGGTCTGCAATGGCACCCTGAGAAGTGGCTTAGGCTAGCACCGCATGGTATGGGAAAAGTGAGACAGATGTTTTTGACAGATGCCAATCATCAGCTGTTAACCCCTTGAGCTCACACCCAGGGATGGACGGAGAGATGCTGATGGACTTTAGTAGAATCCCTACTGGGTCTAATCTTTTTTAAAGGGATTTAGTGTGAGTTACAAAGTGTAAGAGCTTTTCTTGGAGAATCAAAGAATGCACTGACATGCAGTTCTCCCAAGAAAGAAAATGTGCTGAAAATTTGCTCACCCTTAGGCCATCCAAGATATAAATTAGTTTATTTTTCATTGGAACATATTTGGAGAAATTTAACAGTACATGACTTGCTTACCAATGAATCCTCTGCAGAGAATGGGTGCCGTCTGAATGAGAGTCCAAACAGCTGATAAAAGCACCACAATAATCCACACGACTCCAGTCCATCAATTGACATCTTATGAAATGAAAAGCTGCATGTTTGTAATAAATTTATTAAGATAATTTTTAACTTCAAACCGTGGCTTGTGGCTAAAATACAAGCCCTCTATACATAATATTTCTACAGAGAAAAAGTCATCTTGTCTGAATCGGGAGAGAAATATGCACAGATCAAGCACAGTTTACAAGCAAAAACCTTCCAAAAAAGTTCTAAACAAATGTTTTCATAGTCTGGCAGCGGAGCTTTAATGTCGACAAAACATTGGTTGATTTCTAAAAGGTCTCTCAAACACTTACCCTGTTTACCATTGGCTGTTCAAACAAATTGTCTCGCCCCCAGCTGATGCTATTGGTCGAGTCAGTGTTGCTGTGCAAAGGTGGTTGGGATGCTGAAACAAGGAAAACATTTTTGATAGAACAACAGTGTCTCTTTTCAGGAAAAGTCAACATAGGAATTGCACTCCTTTAAATACAGTTCAAAAATCAGTTATTATATTAGACCTATATTAGATCATTTGAAAACATAAGTAAAACATAAACATTTATTTTATTATGACAAATTTAATATTGTTTTGTATTAAGAAATTCGAGATTTGAGCTATAAATATTATTGTTATTTATCCACGCTGGCCAGTATTTTCTATGTATAATTAGATTTGGAATGTTTTGTTTTATACAGCGGGTACCAGTTTGCTGGCCTTGAATATGGGTCTGAGTGTTACTGTGGCAACCGCATCACAAGCTCTCGGATGAAAGAGGAGGAGTGTAACTTGGACTGCAAAGGCGAGAAGGGCGCCATCTGTGGAGGTGTGTCCCGTCTGTCCGTTTACAAGGTGGAGGAGGTTCTTCCTGGCCAGCGGAGATGTGAGTGCTTGAAATAAGTTTACCTTTTCACAGGGCAGAACTTCTCACCCTGTCATGCATGGCGTTAGCAGTGCATTGGGAAGCACACAAAACAGCATTCTGAAAGAGAACAAATATTAGTCAGACAAACATGCAAAAGTGCATATGTAAGTCTTAAAAACCAATATAATAAGCAGTAAATCACCTCTGTAGTTAATATCCATAAAAATGCAGCTTAACTGGTAGAGCACAGTGCTGACAATAAAGGTCATGGGTTCAATTCCTGGAAATAAATTTAAGAAATGATTAAAAAAGTGTACAACCTAATTGCGTGAATGAAAGCATCTGTCAAATGAATAAATGTAAATATGAACACACATATCAGGAAATTACTGGGGATATAACTAAATGCTGTTTAAAATACTGGTTTCTGTCATTTTCTAGCAATAAAATAATTGTTGCAAGAAAGACAAGTGTTTTTGATAAAAGCATCTACCAGATGAATAAATGTAAATAGAAATGTATTATTTGCACTTTTTGCAGCTCTGTAACAAAATGTGGGATATATCTAAATACAGTTCAAAATCTTGATTTTGTAAAAATAAAAAAAAATAAACTAAAATAAAATACATCTTTACGAATGAAAGAAAAAAAAAATAGTTTGTAATGCTTTGGATAAAAGCAGCGCTGCTTCTGCAGGTAATCCACAGTCTGGCAGTGGAGATTTGATGTGGCCATATGTTTGAAACTGGTTCCTTCATCAGTCTCTTCCACATGCTGTTGGACCTCTGTGTTCTGACTCAGTGTGCCTCTGCAGTTTTAGGCCAACTGGATTTGGCCCAGCACAACACTCATGGACACAGCTATTAAGCATTGACCAAATGTTTTGTGCCCTAAATTGAAAATGCTATCCATTGTACCAGATAATGTCCTGTTTTGTGCATTGTTCGGCCTGTTGCTTTTAACATGTTTATGTAATGCAACAGAAAAGCCATAAATAAGTCTCTAAATTACTGTTTCAATTGTTATGCTAAATTATGCTAAAAATTGTAAATGTGAAGGGGACACCGGTGGCAATTGTAACGTTTAAAATTTGTTCAGTGACACTCTTTAATGAGTTATGACACATTAAAGTTAACTGCAGCCATAGAAAACCAAACGCCATAGTTTTAGGTTTGATATTAGCTGCATATTCGCCTAGGCTGCTTTATGAACCGTCTGCAAATTTACCTCACAGTACAAAACGAAGTCCAATAATTGATTCAAATTAATGTTTACAGTAAATTAATAATTTACTCAAACTGACTAAATATATATTGCCAAGAAGTTGCCTTAGACAATACTTTCCCCAAGTATGTACACTACACAAATATTTTTAAAGAAAAAAAATTACATTAATTCACCAAAATGGGTTTTTCATGTTCTAAATGTTGTATGTTACTAGTGACCAGACTGACTTTCTACAGTTAACATTTTGCCAATATCTTCCTCACTGTATATACAGTATATAATTATTCCTAAGAAATTACTGTAATTCACAAAATGTTTTCTAGTGCATTCCTAGTGACTAGACTGACTTACATAGGTGAAATTTTGCTAATAACTCCCTTACTGTACATAAATATTTTATACTGCAACCTTTGGAACATGGAGGTATTGGCGAAATCTCATCTGTAGTAAATCACTATGAGCAATACGAGCTTTACAATTTGACAATGTGTTATTTTAAATGTTAAAAGTCATTTTAATTAAAATACATTGGACGTTTTAACTCAGTCGGTGGAATTGTCAGACTGTCCCTTGTGTGCTATAACGCGTCAATGCTTTCTCCGGTTTAAATTTGAAGCAATAATACACCTAGGCGGTTTTGAACTCCTATTTTATGTCAATATAAAGTGGTTGCATATTGTTAAAACTAATCGTGGTATTGATATGTTTGTAGGACTGTTGACTCTATAGATCAGTGGTAAGGGAAAGCAATTATAAAGAAAATGCAGCGCGTTGCGTTCTTCTGACCTCATTTGCTTGCCTGTATATAGTTCGTATAATCATCAATAAAGTGTATTCTGAGATCTGAGGTCTTATATCACTGTATTAGTTCACTGAGGCGCGTTACGAGTCATTGGGGAATCCTGGAGTGTGATGCATGAGGGGGAACCCCAGTATTTCAGCACAGCGTCACACAAGTCATGATACAAGTAAAGGAAACTAAGCAATATATGTCTTCCTCAGATGTAATGTTAGTTCTGTACATCAGCGTTGGGTAAAATAGCATTATAATCTCCTATGTGATAGAGAAAGCTGCTTACATGTAGGCTACGCGAAACAGCGAAGATGTTGAATTAAACATACACACAATCAGCTTTTTCACATGTTTATACTGGCCCCGATAATCAAAACTTCTACTTAGTGCTTGCTCCATTTCTTCAAATCTGTTTTTGAGAATGAATTACTTGATTCACCTGTTGCTTTGGTCTTCATCAACAGCCGCTTGCGCAACCTGCTGGTGAGCGACTGACAGTGTTGCCAAAGCCCTCCCTCAGAAAATCTCTAGAACCACCCTCAAAAGTCTCCATTTTTCACAAAATGTCGCCAAATATGAAAACAAAGTAAATTTGGTAAAGGGAAAGGCAAGTAAATATATATATACTTTACAAATTATGCCCGTATAAAAAATATAACAAAATATTAAGTATAACAAAAAATTCTGAAGTGAAATTAGGAAATGCTTGTGATCTGCAAGCACATCAAACATGATGGAAATGATGGAAAGACACAATGTTGGGAATTTGTTTTATGTATAACCAAAGTGCATCCCTGTCCTGCTCCAATACAACAGATGAGAGATATTATGATTCTCCAAAAACAAAAACTTTATTCTTACAAACTATTATATTTCAGTCAACACACTCTATTACTACAAAGTAAGTGCAAAATACTGCATCGCAGCACACATGACACGATGATGCACTGTGTCTCTCTCTCTCAGTATCTGGTTGACATGACTGTGCATGAATTGTGGTATAACTTTTGTGTCCGTGGTTAAAACAAGATGTAAATTTTTTTCTCCGCCATCTTGATTGATGCTTATAATGAAATTGTGGTGTGCGTCATGGCAGTGCATACTGGTGTGTTCACTGCGCAGACTCATTGGCAGGTCACGGGCCTACGGCAGGGTATGGCCAAGTAAAAAAATGTAAAATCTCAAAAAAATCTGTAGTTTTATTGAAATATAGCTAAAATAGCTCCTTGTCACAAAAAATGTAAAAAAGTCGCAGCTACAATGAGAAAGTAGCTAAATTTGGCGACAAAATCCCCAAATTGGCAACACTGGCGACTGACAGCAGCTGGAGATCATGCATCGGTGCTCTACTGCTATTCCTGCAGCTCCCGGATGTGCAATGACAAATTTTCTGCTGAATTTTAACCACTGAATTTATGGAAGCGAATTTGGAAAGTGAAATAAAATGGACCGAAATTTGCATGTGTCGAATAATATACATCGTATTTTTAAACAGATTTAATATTTTGGAAGTGAACTCTGGAAGGTGAATATGAATTATTGAATTTTTAATTATGAAAATCTGTGTGAAATATTTTGAATTGAAGTATTCACAGCTTAAATAGACAACTATGTTAAATTTCAGGACCTAAAAATGCAAGCCCTGGAAATACAAGGCTTTAAAAATGCAATGCATTATTTTTTCAGTTAGTGCTATTCAACATGCTTTTTTGTTTCAAAGACATATGGCATTATTTTTCTTCCATAGCTATACTATTTTTGTGGAAACTGTGCTACATTTATTTTCAGGATTCTTTGATGAATAGAAAGTTTGAAAGAACAGCATTTATTCAATATAGAAATATTTTGTAACATTATTAATGTCTTTACTGTCACTTTTAATGTGTCATAAAGTATTAATTTATTTTAAGAAATGGTAGTTTTGAATGGTTGTATATGTAATTTGTCATATGTCATTTAATTGTACAGTAGGTCCCACAAATAAAACTATTCAGTAAGTATGAAAGCAATTATATTATTACTTAAAAGGTGTGTATGAATATTTAAGAAATTCTTACAGTTGGCCCAGTCTCCCCCACATTTTAAAGGCCTTTTTATGTTTTCTTTGTATTTTTATATATGCATAACCTTTATATAATTTTAGATACATACTCCCCCAAATTATTAAAGAATTTTATTTTCTTAGTTTTTTGTTATTATTGACTACAAATCTAAAAGAGGTCAACAGATTAGCCTATAAATAGCCTATTTTTGTGTGAAAATATTCTCTGCACATTATTCTGCAAGAATCACGGTGTCAGTGACCATGGGCTGACTTGCTTTGTTATAGTTGAACAGTCTTCCACCTGTCTTAGAAAGAAGTTCAGAGACTTACCCGAGGCTTGCAGTGCTCCTCTGCACTATGTTTTAATAGTGCTTTGTTTGATGTTTTCGTGCAGCTGTGTCTCATTTATGGCCCTCACAAAGAAGCATTTGATCACTTCAAAAGCAAATGGCGGTCTGCAGGGCCTCTTCATTTATTTGGAGAGGCAAACAAAAGCCCTGGGGTTTCAGTTACAGAGGGCTTGTTTACCCTGCAGAGGTGACAAAGTGTCATGAAAGCCCTGAGCACACTTGCTAAAGCACAGTATCCACTCATATCCGGTGTTTGTCATTGAGGTGAATCGGTTTCTCCAATGGCCTTGTTTGCTGTAGGCACCGTTATATCAAGTCAACGCTAGCTGTATATAAGCTGTGGAAACTTTTATATACAGAATACACATTTATTATTATTATATATTATATAATATATACTGTATGTATGTGTATATATATATATACTTGTTATATATTATACAATTATTATTATTATTATTATATAACAATGCAGAAATGTTTTGTTTGATTTAGGCAGGGTTCCCTTTCAGTCGGTCACTCTGAGTCACGTTGGTGACCGACGAATTGGGTTCTCGCTTAGAGAGACCAATCCACTACACACCGAGTGTAAACTAAACAAGCCAATGTACATTGGAATCCGAGGATTGCATCCAGCTGCCGTTGATCACAGTGTGAGCATAAAAAGGCAGCCGGTGCAACGCATACCAGCTTTTCACTTCGGAGCCGAGCGACAACATCATTCAGCTCCTACCAAACTGCTTCGTGTGTGACGAGTCTAGCTCGCTCTCGGGAGCTTTTTGTGTTGGCGGACAGCGCTTCAGCAGTGGTCGATCCTGTGTCGAGTGGGTTGTGCACTTCAGGCTACACTACCCCCTGTCGTGCTGCAAACGTCCGTTTCCCCTGTGTGTCTCAGCACGTAAAAGAGTATTTCCCTAAAAGAGCCAATTTCTCTAAAAGAGTACAATAAGCGGGTGCGTCTTTGTAAAGACAACGGATCATCTTTTTAAAGATGCCGTTTCACCCGTGCGTTTCTGGATGCGGTCATTGCCTGGCGCCGGGTGATGGTCACGATCGCTGCCTCACGTGTCTGGGCATGAAGCATGCTGAGGTGGCCGAAGGAATGCGCTGGGCCCTCTTCAAAGAGCATACCAGCGATATCCCTTGGGGCTCCTCCTGATGACCGGATGTCGATCACTGCATCAGAGGGAGAGCTCTCTCCCAGCCCCAGCCCCCGTCAAACCTGGCGGTGAGTGAAAGAGCAAGAGGCCCTGGGACGGGTGACCCAGAGAGGGAGGAAGCTGCTCTTTGGGGGATGGTGAAGGCACCTCTCCCTCCCCCGGAGGAGGGCCGGGTTGAGAATCTGGAAAATCTCGACAAGAGAGCGGTTTTCTCTATCTCTGGGTCCCAGGAGGGCACGGAGAGTCACGGCAGGCCCTCACTCATCCTCCTCCTTCGCCGGCCGGCAGCAGCGGGCGGTTCGAGAGCGTCAACAAAGGCCCTACTCACGCACCCTGTGCCAACCTGTGGAACCAGGTAAGCGTTGCACCGCAAACTCAGACCCCTCTCTGGTCCGCTCACAAGCCACCCGAGTTGAGTCCCTGCATTCCACCTCGCTGCCCCACTGTGGGTACGGCGGTGGTTCCGCTGGTCCCACTTGCACGGTGTCTGGGTGCCTGGCTTGCGCTACCCAACCCCTTTCGTTGGCTTCTGCGGACCATCAGCCTCAGCTATGCAATTCAGTTCACCCGGCATCCCCCCAAGTTCAGTGGCATCTGCTTCACGAAAGTGTTTTGCATGCGGAGATCGCAGTCCTACTGGCGAAGGATGCGAAAGAGCCGGTTCTTCCAGCCGATATGAATACAGGGCTTTACAGCCCTTACTTCATTGTACCCAAGAAAGGCGGTGGGTTACGACCAATCTTGGATCTGCGTGTCTTGAAGCGGGCCCTTTCACCGGTTACCGTTCAAAATGTTGACGCAGAAACGCATCTTCGGGTGCATCAGTCCCCGAGATTGGTTTGCAGCGATCGACCTGAAGGATGCATACTTTCATGTGTCGATCCTTCCGCGCCACAGACCATTTCTGCGGTTCACGTTCGAAGGATGAGCATATCAGTAAGAGGTCCTGCCCTCCGGGTTGTCCCTGTCGCCCTGTGTCTTCATGTAAGTTGTGGAGGCAGCCCTTGTTCCCCTGAGAGAACAGGGCATTCACATTCCTAACAACTGGCTCATACTAGCTCTATACTAGAACATTTGCCATTTTCAACAGTAGTCTTAATATGTAAATTGCATGCAAATTTTAACGCTTTATAAGTTGCGAAATGAAAATGTGTAACACAAATTGATTTGATATGTGTAACATGTCCATTTAAATGCTATTTGTCCTAAATGCATATTTCCAACAGTAGTCTTAATATGTAAATTGCATGCAAATTTTAACGCTTTATAAGTTGCGAAATGAAAATGTGTAACACAAATTGATTTGATATGTGTAACATGTCCATTTAAATGCTATTTGTCCTAAATGCATTTAGACTAAAAGTTAGAACACTTAGGATTGTATTTTCATCATGACGCCGTGGGATATTTGTAGCAAAATTCAATTTGAAAATGCATTCCAAGCTGACCACGCCCTCCCTCCATCAATCATTGCTTCAAGGCGGGGATTGGCAGAAGTGTGTTACGTTTGGATCGTTTGAAACATGGCGGCTGGAGATCTGATAAGATCGTTGAATTCACTGGCAGATGAAGTGGAGCGTGAACAGAGAAATATATGAAGCCTATTCCATGCTAAAATCAAAGTTCGAATGACCGACCGATCGAACGTCTAACCGAACGTCTTGAGCTTTGAGCGTCTTACACTGCAGGTGACCCATGTGACGCCAGCGTCTTGAAATTAGCAGGTATTTATACATTTAAGGAGCCAAGCTGCTGTGTAAAAACTATAAATGGACATTACAAGCATTACAATAATGATATTTTATACCTAAAATAATACTCAACCATTTCCTGCATCCTGCTGTACTTCCCTGAATAAGTATTTAAAGGTGTTGTAGGCTAATAAGTCGTTCTGAGTAATAAATTGAAAAAGCTCCCACATGTATATGACTACACAAAATAACATGTATTTTACTTGAGGTTCTGTTATAAATGTGTCTATTAGAAACATTAATTTAAATTAATTAATTATACAAAAAATTGTTTGAAATTAATTAAGACTTCCCGAGTTTTTGAACGGAAGTCCTGAATGACTGTTATTAAAGGTCATTTAATGAATTTGAATGATTTTCAATGCCCTGCAGAAACCCTGCCTTTGTTGGAAAAGTAAATAAATAATTTTAATTATGTTTGCCTATGTTATAACACTTTTCAGTAACAATATTTAACAAGTAACAAGACGTTCAGTTAGACGTTCGATCGGTCGGTCGGTCGTTCAAACGTTTGATTTTAGCATGGAATAGGCTTCATATATTTCTCTGTTCACGCTCCACTTCATCTGCCAGTGAATTCAACGATCTTATCAGATCTCCAGCCGCCATGTTTCAAACGATCCAAATGTAACACGCTTCCGCCAATCCACGCCTTGAAGCAATGATTGACGGAGGGTGGGCGTGGTCAGCTCGGAATGCATTTTCATAGCCGCACTGAATTTTGCTACACATATCCCACGGCGTCATGATGAAAATGCAATCCTAAGTGTTCTAACTGTTAGTCTAAATGCATTTAGGACAAATAGCATTTAAATTATAATTTTGCTACCATTTCTGCTTCGACATGTTACACATATCAAATCAATTTGTGTTATACATTTTCATTTTAACTTCGCAACTTATAAAGTGTTCAAATTTGCATGCAATTTACATATTAAGGCTACTGTTGAAAATGCAAATGTAAATGATATAATTTCATTTTCCTTTTGCACCAAACTTTGCTTTACAGGCCTCTCTCATCTTTTTAAGTGGGAGAACTTGCACAATTGGTGGCTGACTAAATACTTTTTTGCCCCACTGTATATGCTTCCATAGTTATCAAGGGAAACTTTCAAAAAATTTGAAATGTCAATTTAAAGCATAGTGAGTTTCATCAAATTCATTCCTTTCCTTGCATTCTTGCTAAAAGAAACATGCAGCTGTGTCTGAAAAGAGTTTGTAAAAAGCTGAAGCAACTCGGAAAAAATTATAAAATTATTCATATTAGATAGCGTAGTTTCCTATTTCTGTGAAATGTGGCTTCTTTGCAGTTCACTCATTACCCATACAACCTGATTCCTTTGATATTTCTTTGAAGGTCTATGAGTTCTTTTTTTTATACATACATCTTAATTACACATTCACTGCAGCATTCCAAACCTTAGGGCAATGCGTTGAGTGTTGGCACAAAATCATGTTCCTACACTATTTTTCTCCTGTAAATCAGCAATGTTCTCCATTCTCCTCTGCCTTCAGACAGGAAAGTACGCTACCGGGGCTGCTTCAAAAAACCTGACAACACAACAGCAGCTTCCCTGGCTCATGCCATCCAGCCCAACCTCACCTCCCAGTGGTGCATCGAGACCTGCATGGATCAGGTCTGACTTTCTTGACTTTATCAATACTAGATTCATGTGGATTGGACATGGACTGCTGTAGTTTTTGCTCTGCAAGGTGCACACCTGATAATTGATTTTTTTTCCACAATCTGCTTGTTTAAATATTAATGTGTCCCCAGAGAACACAAATTCGCTCTGTAATCAATCTTCTACACAGCTTTATCACCTTAATTGCAGTATAATTTGAGCCCTTTCTATCAGAATGTCATGCTTTGTTGCTCTCTTGCAACATGGTCAATTTATTCATACTCGCCTTTCAGACAAAAACATTTTCAGATAATAATAACTCAAAATAGTTGTAATTTGAAGTATGGATTGAGAGACATTGGTGACATTCATATACATATTTACTCTCTCTGTATCAGGAGTTTCCTCTGGCTCTGGTCAGGAAGCCTGACTGTTTCTGTGGCTATGCTACCCCTCGCTTCACTCTTCATGAGCCGGTGAAAGAGGAGCTCTGTGCTGTGGAAAACAGCAGTCTGCCTATCCAAAGTTCCCATCAGCTCTTCCTCCAGGTTTATCAGACACCTGTTCAAGGTAAGACTCTGTGGACACCTCACTGATCTTAATAATTACCTCTGTGTTCACATTTCCCCACACGGGCAGTTTATTATTCTCACATAGAGCTCAGCCTCGAGATGTATGCTAGAATTAAACAGGGTGCCTGCTCCTATAATTCTAAGATTTTTCTTTGGGAAGTCATGAAAGAATGTAAAAGTGAATAATAACTTTTTAGGTATACCTGGCAATGCTAAACTTTCTAACAACACGTAATAGCCTAAGGGCACCTTTACGTCTGTAAAGTACTCATATATCTGAGACTGAGACAGCTTGAAAAATAATAAGCAAGATCTTTAACAGCTTGTTGTCTTTGTGGGTGGATTTGGTAGCTAACTAGAGAGGATTGCTACTGACTGCTTTTATCACCTAAATTGTGAGGGGAACGAATGAATGAATCAGCATTCTAAAATGCGGATTTGCTGCTCAAGAAACATTTCATATTATTATAAATATTGAAAGCAGTTGTGGTGGTTAATCTTTTTTTTTATTCAGTCATAATTCAATGGACCAAATTTACCAAATATTTCCTCCCTCTAATACCACCTGCCACCAACTAGCAATAGGAAATAGTATCATAACACAAGTAAGACAATTGTTAAGAATTGTTGTTAAAAATAAACTTTAGCCATTCTTACCTAACATCAGGATCCTTCAGACGGCTATGCAGAGCTGTAGATGCTAAACACAGCTTGAAAAGCACAGCATAATGAAAAATACAATGTTAAAGTAGTCCTTAACATAATTTTATTTCTAAAGATTGGACAATAGTTTTATAATGTGATTTTTCTTTTTAATGAAAACCTTGATATATACCGTTAATAGATGCTTGGTAACTTACCTTCTTTCAAGTGAAAATAAATATTAGACATTTATTTCTGTCCAGATTCCAGATGCACAGAGAAGAAGTTTCTACCTGAGAAGTCAAGCTCACTCGTGGCTTTGTCCAGTTTTCCTGGTGCGGGAAACACCTGGGTGAGGCATCTGATCGAGCTTGCCACAGGCTACTACACAGGCAGTTACTATTTTGATGGCACAATCTACAATAGAGGTAACAGTATCACCACTCATAAATCTTACCGTTTTAAAAGCTTGCAAGCATCGTTGATGGAGGACATCTTTGTCGCAAATCAAGCCTCTCTGAAAAATATTATTTCACTGAGATTGGATGGGATGAATTTATTATCATTGCTATCTTTTTGCACATAAACAGGCTGATGTCTTTAATGAAAAGTGAGCATTTAACCAAAGGTTAATCTGCCACCACAATGTCATGGCGTTATTTGCATTACTAAGCACATACTGCATAAAACAGTGCCATTATCATTAGGACTGGCTTAGGACTACCTTTTTTTAAAGAAGTTTGGACTGATCTAAACAGTAACTCCAAAGTTTGGTGAGTCTTTTGGAATGATTTATTAAAAGCTGCAGAGCAACTTTACAGTTTTTCTTTTTCTTCAGCTCCTACCATGCAGCTTATTTGAGACCTCTTGATAACGTGCATTTGGGCACAGTTGACCTTCTCTTTTCTTTCAAATGCCAAACTTTATTGAGGATATTTTTTTTCTATAATTTAAAGAACTTGACCTGCCTTGAAAGTCACAGTGTCTTTTCAAATCCATCACAGAACCTGACACATTTGCCTGAGGGGGGCCATAGAGCCCATGCCTGGACTGGATTTTTGATGCAATTTTTGGAACATATGCATTTGGATTCAGAGGCGGCACTGAGCGGTCGCTACATGCAGTTGGCTGTATATTCTAATCCTTTTCTCCTCCCAACTGTGCAGGCTTCAAGGGGGAGAAAGATTACTGGAAGAGTGGAAGAACCGTCTGTGTGAAGACACATGAGAGTGGCCAGCGGGATATAGAGATGTATGACTCAGGAATACTGTTGATAAGAAACCCCTACCGCTCGCTCATGGCTGAGTTCAACCGCAAGTGTGCCGGGCATCTTGGTTACGCTTCTGATCAGCACTGGAAGAGCAAAGGTATTATGAGTACAGTATAAGTTTAGCCCTGCAGTGTCCATGAGAAACATACTATGCATGTGTCAGTGTTATTTTGGTATTGTTTATACACTATGATAGTTTTTATTACAATTATTAATTTTAATTTATAAAATTATTATTTAATTTAATTTAACTTATTTTTAAATGTTCTTTTTTTTAAGTAATGTCATTTTTTTGTAATTTGATGTGCTTTTTTATTTTTAAAAGTAACTACTTAGGTTTAATTTTTGTTTCAGTTATAGTTTTAGCTCATTTTTAGCCTTTATTTATTTTCAGTTAGTCTATCTATCAATCTGTCTATCTATGGTAAAGGGATTATTTAACATATAGTGCAAATCCTTTACGTAATGTTTCTTACCGTCCTATTTTCTCCTCCTTCTAGAGTGGCCAGAATTTGTGGGTAGTTATGCCTCCTGGTGGGCTTCTCACGTATTGGACTGGCTGCGTTATGGAAAGAACCTTCTGGTGGTGCATTATGAGGAGTTGCAGGAGTCACTGGTGCCCACATTACGATCCATTACTTCCTTCCTCAATACTAGTGTCAGCGAAGAGCGGCTCCTCTGTGCTGAGTGCAACAAGGATGGCCACTTCAAGCGCTCAGGTGCGCGACGGCCCACCTTTGACCCCTTCACCCTAGATATGAAACGGCTGATTGATGGCTACATCAGCACTGTGGACCAGGCCCTCAGAGCCAGCAACCATTCTAGCTTGCCAAAGGAGTATCTCCCAAGATGATAAGTCCAGAACTAGAGTACAGGACTGGTTGTCTTGCTCAAGCTCCAGTGCTACAAACTTACAAACTATGATGTCCTGGAGCTATTTTGATACGTTATTTCCTCACATATTGAGGCCAAAAATAGTGCCATATGATGCTGTTATGCTTTGAGATCGTCATGTTTTAACGGCGGTCCGTGGATCAGTGTGCGAAAGGAAAAAGTTCAACTTTGTTGCCATACCATGGTGGATAATTATAAAGATTAGGTTTGATGACTGCAGACTTGAACTTGAGACTCTAGTCAGAGGCTAAATAAGTTCCCCTTGCTCCTTTGGGAAGAAACTTGAGTGCTTAATTACATAATTCAGCTACAAGTCAACAAGAGGCCTAAATAAACAACAGATGTAATTGCTTATGACCTAATCTGACATGTACTGTAGATGATAATGAAATGTCCACATGACCACAAAAAAAGCATAATTATTACTATACAGTGACATTTTTGTTTTTTACTTTGTAGGGGAAAATGTTGACTATTTACAAAGCTGATATCATAAATGCTAGGATGAATGTAATCTATTAACATAACAGACGATGCATAGACACTGCAAAACTTTTAGTATTTTTGTCTTTTTTTCCAGTAAAATATCTCAACATTCTTAAAACAAGATACATTTACTTTAAGAAGCAAAATTATGTAAAAGTCTTGTTATCTGAAAAAAAATTAAAGTTAAAACTAAAAACAAGAACAAATAGGGGAAGAAAAATAAAACCTATGAATTAAGTTTATTTTTCTTACCCAATTGGCAGATATTTTTTTCTTGTTTTAAGCATCAACTCACTTAATTTAGATTTTTTTTTCTCAGAAAACAAGGCAACACAAAAACAAGACTTTCTTGCCTGGAGAACTGTGACAGATTAATATCTAAATGAAACAGAATTTTATTTCCGTGCATATCTTGTAGATCGCTGCAGTATACGGTGCACACATGCGCTACATTAATATGTGTAAAGTAGTGTGCAGTTGCCCATGTCTTGTGTGTGTGTTTGCACGCACAGTTGTGTTCATGTTCCAATGCCTCAAAAAATTCAGTTCATTTATGAATTGTTTGCTGAACTTTCCACAGCAGCAAATAAGTTATTTTTCTGCCGTCCTTGGGCAAAGAAACAGGAGGCATAATAAGCTCAAAACTAAATTTTTTGATTTTCATAAACTCTCTTGACGTAGGTCAGACCCTGTGACTGCTATTCACTTGCGCGGATGCTATGGTGAGGGGCCGGCCCCCAAGGTTTTGCTGCTGTTGTGAAAACACAATGAATAAAATTCATAAAGCAAAAGGGTGACTTTTTTCATTTTCTCAGTAGTGGTGACAAAAGATGTTTGAGAGCATTAAGTCACTTGAATGTTTCAAAGACTTGCTCCTAAGATATTCAAAGGAAAATAAATCCGCCAGATTCCTGGGAGACTGAAATATCTTGAATTACTACTTCATCGTTTACTGAGCAATGTGAGCACATCATTTGCTCACCAGTGGATCCTCTGTAGTGAATGGGTACCGTCAGAATGAGAGTCCAAACAGCTGATAAAAACATCACAATAATCCACAAGTAATCCACTCATCTCCAGTCCAGCAATTAACATCTTGTGAAGTGAAAATCTGTGTTTGTAATCAACAAATCCTTCAAGACGTTTTTAAATGCAAGTCCTCTGTCCATAATATTGCTTTCTCCAGTGAAAGTCATATCGTCTGAATCAGGAGAGAAATATGCACAGATCAAACACTGTTTACAGGCAAATACCAATATGTCGAGGACATCAGGGGATGGCTTTTTTTCACTAGAGGAAGCGTTATTATGGATTATGGACTCGTATTTAGCTGGAAGGAACAGTTTAAAGTTAAAATGCCTTAATGATGGATTTGTTTTGTACAAACTGAGATTTTCACTTCACAAGGTGTTAATGGTGGACTGGGGATGTGTATATTACTTGTGGATTATTGTGATGTTTTTATCAGCTGTTTGAACTCTCATTCTGATGGCACCCATTCACTGCAGAGGATCCACTGGTGAGCAAGTGATGAAATGCTAAATTTCTCATGAACGAAGAAACCAATTCATCTACATCTTGGATGGCCTGGGGGTGAGTACATTTTCAGAAAATTAAAATTTTTGGTTGAACTACTCGTTTAACTAGCATATTGAAAATGAATGTGACATGACGTGTAGCCAAGTATGTTGTCCCATACTCAGAATTTGTGCTCTTCGTTTATCTGCGTTTAATATAATATCCAAAACTCAGGGTTAGCTCGGCAAAAATGGTTCTTATTAAGGGGAAGCTTTCTGTCCTACGTTTTGTCACCTTTTGTAGCAGACAGGGTGCCTGCATCTGTCTTGCATCAGCCTTTAATCACATTTTTGTTCCCTCTCCTTGATCATTGCTTTGAGCCCCCTCGGAGCGCAGCAAACAGTAAAAGGCCTTGCTGTTCATTCCCCTGTGTCATTTGAAGCTGCAGGCAATCTGTCTTTTAAATATGGCTAAGTGCCTCTCTCATGCAGCTGAAGTTCAGTGCGGCTGACTCTTGCCCTAACACATGCATATGTACAGTTCAAACATGTCTGAGATGGGAAGAACTCTACAGGATGTATTTACTAAAGCATGAGGATACAGAAGGGTCATCTGAATAGGCTGGTAGTGGTTGTGCTACAAGAAAGATTTTAAACCATATATTTTTGATACAGTCATAAATTTACAAACATAAATATGTTTGTTGTAAGTCGCACAGAGAAAATACAGCTGGATAAAACAAAAACGGTGTTCATTTATATATATATATATATATATATATATTAATTTTAGAAGAAAATATTCAGATGGCAATTAGAGGCTTTTGCATCTGAACTCTTCATATATATATATATATATATATATATATATATATATGGAATACATGAATACATACTTTGTCCCACTGCAGGGTCATTACATACATACTGTCACACTGCAGGGTCATTTGAAATGAACTAGGTAAAATGGTGATTTAAAAATGTTGAAAAGCAGGTAAAATATATATTTTCCCTTAGACATTCATTTACATTTTATTCTCAAATCTAGATAAAAAGTTTTATAAAAAAAAGATTGATTAAAAAAGTATTCTTAAATGCATTATGCATCAACTACCCAGTGATGCAGTCAATGATGTGAATAAGCATGTAAACAGGCTTTCAGATACAAGCAACCAGAGAGATTACTGCATGCAAGCAATATCCTCACTTATGCTCTTCAAGGCTACAGTATGTGGCTTCTGTGTATGTGTGTGTCGCTGCTTCATCAACCTTCCCGACCTCCCAGATCTAATCAGCCCAGGTCAAACTCAGCCAGGTGACGTCAGTTTAGATAAACTAATTGCTCTGATTGAACAGATGGACCCTTGATATAAGAATTTTCGTCCTTTCATCAAGGCTGAAACCGAGAGGCATATTGATGCAGCCATACAGATGGCATTTTACCCTCGGCAGCAGACTTCGCGTCACATTAGCATTGAAATGGCTTTCATTTCCAACATGCCTTATGCATTTTAAAGTGAACAGGCTCATATAGCACATACACAGAATTCAAATGCTGTTCTATCATTATGCTAATGGAATATATAAAGCTCTAACCCTCATCTGTTTTTAATAACATTTACAGAAGATTTCCTGAATAAGCACAAGGACGTTTCTCTGAAAAACTATAATAATCGTTGTGGAGTGGAAAAGGATTTGGTTCTGCTACAGTACATGCCCTTGGTGCTACAACAGTAGACCATGACTAACTTGTACTCTTCTCAGAACTAAACACCAGCCGAAACCCACAGTTGTGTGCATATGTACTCTAGCCTTAAAATGATTTCACAATTAAGTGATATTTTTACATTTCAGCCATTCTGAAGGGCATGGAGGGGAAAAAAGAATATCCTTATAAATTGGCTGACAAAAAAATAAATGAAAAAATGTTCAGTGTCACTACACACAACCCAACTATTACATATAATGCTATTTTACTGATTTGTCATTAAAAAATGTGCCAATACAGAAACCTGAAGTTTATGACTCCAGACATTTCTCACACAACAGATTGTTATCCCAATGGAAGAGAAGATATAGTACTAATTTTAATATTAACATAATGTCACAGGAATAACTTTGATTTCAGTCTGTTAGATATCCCTGATCATTCACAGATATCAAACCCAGATCAAACCCAGTCATCATCTGTTTCCATTTGTAATGTAAATAGAAAATATACATAAAGTTGTCAGACAAAATCACATCTTTCTCTAAGAACAGAAATATTGTAACAAATTACTGAAATAAACAAAAGTCTCCAAATGTCAAATTAAATGTCAAATAATGACTAGCTGAAATAACCAAAACCAAAAAAACATTCATCTTAGTCATAAAATTAATTGTTTTATCAAGCCAAGAAAGTGATATTTTGCATGTTTCAGTCTGTGAATTGGTGTTTTTTTTCAGAGACTCTTTTTGAAAATTACATATTTTAGTAGGTGGTGAAAAATAAACGTCTTCATGAGTGAGTTATTAAATGATCCATCCATCCATCCCTCCCTCCCTCCATCCATCCATCCATCCATCCATCCATCCATCCATCCACCCACACACACACACACACACAGCATTATTACTTTTAATTTGGCCAGGACTGCATTGCAGAGATTTATGGTTTGTTAAGCGATACTTTCATTCCCTCATTTCAGAGAAACACAGTCTTGAGGTACATCAAGTCTGACAGTGATGAACAAATGAACTGATTTCTCAGGAGAAATGTTTTTATGCATCATTGTTATGGAAATAGCAGCACGTAATCATCGGGCATTGTTCGCATCTAACCACAATACCTGCAACAATTGCCAAATCAGCTCCATAATCTGTAAAATAACAGTTTCCACGCTCTCCCTTAAGTCTGATTTTATGCACATTCTAATAAGCTGTTTAAATGTCCTGCAATCCAATGAATAATAATTGCCTAGAAACTTCATTTAAATTCAGAGAGTGCTGAGAGGTAGCGGTAACATAATGCATAGGATAGGTTTGAATTGATAATCTTGTGAAGAGGCTTTGCCCTTCACCGCCATTACTGCAAGTTTCGAAGCAGTCGAGGGAAAACATGGCAAACGAGAGACAGGGGAACAAAGTGCAGTCATAACAAGTTCTCAGTGAACCACTGAAGATCAAGCACAGGTGCCCAAAGGCACTTAAGCAAAGCATACAGCCACAACTGTCTCAGAGAAAGAAAAAAAAAGGGAGCGAGGGTTGTGTGTTTCAGTTCCGCAGTAGATAAGCAATCAAATCCAATGAGGACTCAGTTTATTTTTACTATGTGGTAGGGTGTTTACGCTTAAGGGGTCAACGTGATCTTGGATGATCTTACAGATATGAATCATACCAAAAAATGCTGAATAAGATTACAGTTACAAAGACTCTATATAATATATCAGTTAATAGATGGGGGGCCTCTAGCTTTGTTCACAGCAAAATATCAGAAATACATTTATCCAGCTGCATTTTCTTAATAATTGTATATCTTAGATCATAAGTATATATAAGATATGTGTTGTCTGCCATTTGGAACTGGTTTG